AGTCACTATACAACGGTTTTCCACATAAAATAAAAATTTTAAACTTTAATCTTTTAACACATAACTTCGTAACTTAACAATGCCAATTTTACAAAATATTTTTGGTAAAATTGAGTGCATTTGAAGTAAATATTTAAATATACTAAACATTGGGTGATAATTTGGTGATATTTGAAGTGAATATTTGAATTTACAAAATAGTCAAAGGCATCATACTTCATACAATCTGCTCGAAATTTAATTCCAAAGTATTAAATTTCATGTAATTTACTAACTAAACTAATTGAACAAACAGCTTATTATTAACAAGTTATTTGCATGATTTGAATTATTTTAGCTAATGTAATATTTAAAAACAAAGTTGAACTTGCAAAAACTGAATAATTGTACAATAATATTTTAACTTTTTAACGTTGTAAGCCTCAATAGACTATAAACTCCATTAAAAGGCGGAAGCCGAAAATACATTTTTAAAAATTATGAAAACTGAACTTTGTTGTGTATTTTGTTGTTAGCGGGTTGTTAGGCACTTTTAAAAAAATATAATAATTGGGGGATGAATATTTTATGAAAGCAATTAACTTTAAAAAAGCTAACAATAAACTGAGTTTTTACAATTTTTAATATGTTAAATTTACAATATTGTATACTCATTTCTTATAATTTCAATGGTCGAGAAAACTTCACATTACAGTTTCGATTTGCTCTGTTTAACGCGCATTGCAAACAAAGAACTAAGAAAAAATTGCTTAACAGGACAAGTCAGTTCTTGGTCTGGTAATTAGTTGAAATACTTTTTCCATGAACTTTATTATTCTTTAAAACAACTTAACAAATATTTGTTGAAAAATATTATTTAACAAAAACAAAGACTCCATGTGATTTACAAACTACATTGAGTCTTGCCCTATTATTGATAGTATCTGAGAAGGTTCAATATATTTAGCATTAACCATATAATTTTGTAGTCTAAAACTATTTCTAACATTGGCTGGAATTTCTGCAGTTTTAACATTATTTTTATAAACCTCTGTTAATTGCTTTTCCAGATACATTTAGATTTGTACCAAAATGAGCATGTGATATCTGCATGTTGACGTAAGACTCTTTCATGTGAACAGCATATCCAACAGTAATTGATAGTAGTTTATCGCCATTATGTAATAATACTGTTAAACTTAAATTTCAAGCATCGATAGAGATTCTCCACTTTTCAGGTTTATGCTCAATATTGAGTGAAATTATTAGTCTATTGACCTTATGCAAAAATAAAAATATTTTTCTTAAAAAAGAAGTGCGTTAAGTAGTGGTTACAATATATTAATATTTTTAGATTCTTCTGTAACAGACTTCACTGTCGTATTCTGGAGGCCAGAGTTTAATTTTTATTTTTTTTTAAATCCCTGTCTTGAATTAGGTCTTATTTCATTCTGTGTAATACTGTGTCGGTCTACCAAGAGGATTTTAGGAATAAAATCAGGATCTTGTGATGGTGATTTAGTGGCTCATTCTTGATCAAGCAGCAGAGAATAATCTGCTGGCAGACCAGGAATGAGGAGTTTTCGCTAAGGTACTGGGTAAATAAAAGATGATATATTAGGATAGCTAATAGCCCATTTTTTATCTTCCGAGCATTCTGAGGTGTTAGGATGATACCATATAAAAATAGTAGCTTGTGACATAATTGGTTGACTCTCTTCATACCATAGGAACAACAAAAGGCATAAAATAGCTCTTTTGATTAATCCAGTTCCAGAGGTTAGAAGTATGGCAACATATAAGTAACATCTAGTTTTTATCTTGGTCTCTAATCTTGCTTACAAAACAGCAGTGTTAAGCCTTCTTAACCACAGAAGTAAGAAAACATTTTGAAATGTTGCTTTTCACAACAAAAGAGATCAGCACTATTAACATCCTTTCAAGGCATTTTGATATAATGAATGCCACTGACGCAAAAACCTCATATGCACAATTCAAAAATATGTCTGTGACTGAATAATAATAGAGGAAGATATTTAATCAGTAAATGCGAGTAATAAGCACAAAATTATCGTAGATTATTATAAATAACTACTTTAAATAAATTTTTGTAAATGAGATGACAAGACTATATCAATAATGATATAGTCTTGTCATCATAGTTACATAAGATATCACTAATGTTTAATAAAACCTCTTTTAAGTAAAACTTGATGTATTATAAAAATTAGAGCTAAACGTTATTTTTAAATGTGTTTTTGGGTGTATTTTCAAGACCATATAAGAAGCTCTTTGTTATGACTTTTGGTTGATTAATCTTTATTATGATTAAGTTTTTAAAATCATAGAATCATTCCTTTCTAATTGCAGAATTCCTTTTATTGATAAGATTTTTTCTTATTTCTAGTAATCTCTTTCATATTTCTAGCTTATGTTATTGATCTTGAAAAATAACTCTTTAGTCTAAAGTGGTATTTCCTGATAACATACTATTATCTTGAAAAAAGTCATCACATTTTGATTACTTGTAAGAAACAGCCAATCTTGAATGAGAACTCTTATTTGTGACAGCTTACAGTGGCTGGTAAATTTTAACCCAAATAAAACTCTGGTGTTTACTGCAAATAATTGTCCCGATATTATAGATATTCCTATATTGATGAATGGCAATACACCAAGTCTTCTACTTTACACCTTCTCAGATTACTTTTAATAGTTGACCTCTTATAAAATCTCTATAAAAATTCAATTGTGAAGTTAGCATCTGCTTAAATTGTATCTCTTTTTAGCGCACACCTGTTTCTTACTCTTGATTTCATTCTCTATGCCTACAAACTTTTTATTTCCTTTTTATATTTTAATCTTTTATGTGTGCATATATTAAGTTGTCATATTTGAGCTGGTTTTACTAATGATGCTAATTTTTTTAAACCTTATCTAAAAAAGAAAGAGCATTATATCTGACCCTACACAGCATATATTTGTGCATATTAGCTATTTGCATTCCACTACTTCCCCCATGAGCATGCATACTAGCGTGTACCAAAAAAAAAAAAACTCTAAAGTTTTCCCATTCTCTAAGTTAAAAAGATAGTAAAAATACAAAAAAACGCTTTTTTTTTTTGTGTAAAAATGAAATTTGTCAAACTTCATTTAAAAAAAAAATGCATTTTGAATTTTTTTTTTTTTGATTTTAGGAACTCACTAAACAACATATACTTACAGTATATGTTTATAAGTCTTTTTTAAGGTCTTTATAGTGACCAACATACGGTTCTGTTTCATGTCTGACCCTTGATCATTTGGATATTTTGTTCAGCACAGTCAGTGACACATTTAATCAGCTTCATAAACTTTTTAAATCGAATATTTGGCTGACACTGCTCTTGATTCACTTTTCCACCTTTTCAAAATGAAATCATAACTACCTTGAACAGGATCCAGCTCTAGGAACCTACAAGTTCAGTAGGCACTGTCAACCTGCTAATAACCATTAACTTCGGTTAACCAATATACAACTTCTTTACCTCCTCTTGAACATCATTGTTGGCTAGGACCAGCATAACTAACTGTTTTTTAAATACCAAACATGGTAAGATGGTGGCAAAAAAGGCCTTTCTTTTGTTACCATGCAGTTTTGAGTAGTGTTCCCTTATTCAAATGATGATTTAAAAGCAGCCAAGTCCTTTGAAATTGACCTGTCCATCATATAGGATTTTAAGAACCAGAACCCAAAGCATATAGAAATAAAGAATTCTACCATTTTTACTATCTTCTTCTTTTCCTTCTTCATTACATGGGCTACCATTTCAGTTATACTCATGGTCAGCAGGTATAGAGCATCTGCCATAAACCATAAAAATAAATTATTATTAAGTATATACAAAAAAACTTGAAAATGTATTTTACCTTTAAAACAAAAGTTTTTGATAAAATACTTTATCTGTATGCGGTATACATATTTTACTTACATATTAGCAAATTAAGTGTTCTAATAAACAATTTCGTATGTAAAATACCAGTAATTAATTATGCAATTTAAAAATACAAGTAACTAATTATGCAATTTAATCAAAGTTTAAACTAAAAAATGTTGACATAAAATAAAATATAACTAATGTTCTTAATTTCAAAAAAAAAAAAAAAAAAAATGAAACAGAAAATTTTTTTGATTTAAAAACAAAAACAAAGCTAAATGACTGAATTCTGCAAAAAGCAAAACTATTACACACCTAAAAGTAAATTCCTAATTATAAACTTTGAAATCAAAAATCATGAATTAAAAATATACCATTTAAAGTACTTGGTTGCTTTCATGTATAAATGGATGAAAAAGTAAATCATTTGCTGATGGACGCAAATTCATTTCTCTAAAAAATTAGCATCAATATGGTTCTATGCAATTCACAATATAAATTTTAAATAAATATTTTGACTGTTCTGCTAGAGTCACAAATAAAACATTTATTGACGATATTGTTCTAAATGATATCTTTAACAAAGATATCCAAAAATTCTAGAATGTGTCATGTTTCTAGTGCTTAGCATGAATATAGAAACTAAAAGAAATAGAAAATCTTTTTTTAAGCTAGAAGAATTTAAAAAACAATTACTGCTCCAAATTTGGGAGCATTAAACTATAGCAAAAGTGCTAATAATATCTTTGACATTTTTTGAATACATTTTGTTTTATGTACACGTAAACTTTTAATCAGTTGAGAAGACAATTAAAGTAAAAATCGTGTAAATTTAAACATGTTCAATGTATGTACATAAAACTCGTACTACAATTTAAACATGTACTACATATGTACTAAAAACTGATTATGTAAACTAAAAATACATTTAAATAAACCTACATTTCTCAAAACTTGTAAAAATTCATAATATTTCAATATTGTAATGATAGAAAAAATAACAAAAAAAGTTTTGGCATTTCTTGATTAAGTTGTGATATAAAAATGGTCTTGATTAGTATAAGATATTTCAAGAAAAAACAAATTCAATCTTGGCTTTCCAAAAAGTGAAAAAATTTTTTTGTTTGTTTTAAAGCACAGGTCATTTGTAGAAAATAAAGATGGAGCATCAAATACGTTTTTTACCAATCTTTTTTGATAAAAAAAAAATACTAGCACCCAAGTCACAGTATATGTGACTAGTATAGTCACATATACTGTGTATGTGACTATACGAGTATGTCACAAATATACCAAGTATGTCACAAATATTTGGTGACTATTCAGCATTCGGCCTATTTAGCACCATTTTTTACTATTCGGTATTCAGTTAAATACTGAATAGTAAAAAAATGTGTGAGTAAAAAATATATAAAAAAAAAGGATAAAAAAACATTACATATAACTAATATTTTTGTCTTTCATTTTAACAAATAATCAGCATATTTGATACTTAAAACCTTAATAGCTGGTGGTTTATAACAAAATACTTTCATTGTTTGATTATAGAAAATAATTGTATTTATGAGAGTGTATAATTAATTTCTCATTAACTATACACTCTCATAAAAATAGCCATTTACTATGTACACTGCCACTAGCAAATACAAAGAAATTTTCAGCAAGTTCTGTTAAGATAATGTTTTGTGTTTGCTGACCACTAGTTGTAAGGGTTTGTTGTCCATTTTAAGCAAGCAGTTATTTTTAAAAACTAATTTCATATGCAATTGGACTTTTACCCACATCTTCACACATCTTGATGTGTGCATACTTTTGTAGAGATTGGTTCGATCATTTTCATTTACATTTCTTTTTCTTACAAAGTAGAGTTGAACCATCACCGGTGCTATTAGACACTGTTGATGGTTCATTGGTGTTAAGCAGCCTTTTACTGAGAAAAATTAACCTCTCACCGACTTAATATTTCTCAGAGCATTTAAATTTTAGCTTTGTTTTGTTTGCTGTATTTTAGCTAATCTCTTCAAACTAGTTTTGGAATGTGCATCAATAAAAAAAGGAACCATATAATTGACATTATCATTAAAGTTAAACCATGATTTAAGTTCAAGTTTTAGTAAAATATAATTTTTAATAAGTTTGGAGTTCTTTTTGCTATATCTATTTTTGCATGCAGAAATTTTTGAAATTACCTCTGAAATGCAAGATATACCTGGGCAAATAATTTTTTAATCTTTTTAATGGTTTGAAGAGTAAAATTGATGTAACAGCAACTTGATGTACAGTTGACAAATAATGCGTGCTTTAACAGGTTCTAGTCACAAATGAAACAAAAACGCCCAGTGTTGTTAACATATGCGCTTTAATGGTGAATGCCTCATAAATATATGGTGTTGTTTATTGTTTTTATCCTAAAGTCTGGGTTAATTATAAGACACCAAAACTCCTAAGCATCTTCAAAACTAGATGTCCAACTTTAAATTACTTTGAGAACTTTTACAAAAAGAATGCTGAGGAAGATTTGTAATAAAAACATTATAGCTAAAGATTTCTAGAGTATAAAATAATTAAAAATTGTTTAAAGAGTTTTTTCATAATGCCAGACCATATTTTGTCACTTTGGTGGAAAAAAACTATTTAATTGATTTCTTAAGTATTGATAAAAAATTACTAAAGTTAATAGAAAGAGCAAGTTGTCAAATAAAAAAAAAAACAAATACCTGGTTAGGCATGCTGCAACAAAACTTATAGCATTTTCAGAATATGTTTGAGATAATGAAGGTGGGTCATCTGTATTTTCTGCAATTGCCAACATAGCAGCCTGAGGGTCATAGTTACTCCTGAGAGATAAAAATAAAATAAGAAAAAGATCTAATATATAGATCATTTTCCTGTTTTCACTTAAAAATGATAAAAAATAATAAATTACAAACTTGCATAATGGAAAATAGTGTACTTTTCATTAACTTGAATGATGGAAAATAATATATAAAATGATTATTTAAATATATAAAAGCAAAAAATCTTTTAAACTTCTCAACTTGATTTGACATTTTTAGAATCGAAATATAAACTAACAACATTTATTAATAGAACCCTTGAACAAAAAATTACAGACCATAAAAAGGACATTTTGGTAGAACCCACATGGCCACCTCGTGATGGAAAATTAAAAAAGTAAAAAATTATGATTAACTTAAAAAGAAAGCTCAGATGTTACACAAACAACATGATCTACTTTGATTTTTAGAATTTAAGAATCATGCTCACAACAAACAGATAACTATAACCTATAACTATAAATATAATATATTGTGCACCACAGCTGCACAATAAAAGAAAGTATAACTTTTTATAGTTTAAAATTTATAGTTTTAATTTTAGGATAATTTAAATGCATTAATGAACCTGAAGTAGCAAAGAAGGTTACAGAAAAAGTTTGCTGTCTATGTATCAGAAAATTCAATGGTAATTGAATATAGAAACACTTGGGAAAATCAAGTGTTGTACCTAGTTTAACCTAAAAAGTTAAAATATTGCCACGTGCTCTAGATAACCACTACCCAGCAGAAAAAGTAGTTTACATAAAAGAAAAAAATTGGAAAAAATAAAATTATTGAAACTGCAATTACAGATCTAATGTTTATCAAAGTCTAGGATTGGAAATAGATAAAGTTATTATCAGTGTGGAAATAAAAAGTTCCCATTCACCTTTTGAAGTTATGACAAATATTTTTAAAAAGAAGTGAACTTTGATTCCAAAGAATAAAAAAATTAATATTCCTTAAATCAGAGTTAACAAAAGTTGGCTTTTATTAAAATCTAGCAAAAACTACATAAAACTTTTGATTCTTATAAGTAAAACAAAGTCCAACAATTTAAAGTTTTACCTGGCAGCAGATTTTGAATTACTTACATAATTGTGGGTTTCAGGACATGGGATAAAATATTCCTGTTTATTTTGAAATTGTGAAAAACTATTCCTGGAGAAACCTCTAATATGTTAAAAAAGTTATTTAAAAACAAAGTTATTCTATGCAACTAAATGACTATATTACTATATAAATAAATATATAACTATAAGAATGTTATACATTCAAAAACTTAAATTTCAAGTGTCTGGTGTAAGAGCCTGATTGCTGCTTTACTGAAAAAACACAGAATTATTTGGCATGGGCATAATGGAGATGGATGGGTAGCAGAAAAATGTTATATAAAAGAGATTTATTGTTAAAAGTCATTAAAGACTAAAAGATTGTTTCTTAATAAACTCTTCTTTTAGTTTCTTTTATGTTACTCTTGAAATTTGTAATTTGATTTCTTTCTCTGACCAAATTTTGTTTTAATTTATTAAACAAACTTCAAATGGCTTTAATTGAGCAAATTTTCATCATTTAATGTTTATTTTATAGAACATTAGCTATTAGTTAAAGAGAAAATAGAATTTAAAAAAAAATGAGTGTAACATAAAATAAAATAAAATATATTTTATTTATTGGTAACATAACTTCTGATATTAACAAAAGTAACTTTATTTATGCTCATAACCAATATATATATATATATATATATATATATATATATATATATATATATATATATATATATATATATATATATATATATATATATATATATATATATATATATATATATATATATATATATATATATATATATATTTATAAATATATATATATATATATATATATAAATATATATATAAATATATATATATATATATATATATATATATATATATATATATATATATATATATATATATATATATATATATATATATATATATATATATATATATTAGAGTGCCTCTAAAAACAACTTTTTTTGCAATTGTCTGCTGCCACCCCCTAAATATATTCTATGTAATAAATTAAGACTAAATTAAAAAAATTTTAGAGATTGCTCAAGACCCTTAAACATCAAACAGGTCCCTAATATTTTGAAAAAAAACGTTCTTCAAAAGTATATCATGTTGGATTTCAAAAGAAGTAAAATATTATAAGAATTTCAAAAATATTATTCATTTTATATGCTTTTAGAGGCACTCTAATATATATATATACATATATATATATATATATATATATATATATATATATATATATATATATATATATATATATATATATATATATGCATGCATGCATGCATGTATGTATGTATGTATGTATGTATGTATGTATGTATGTATGTATGTATGTATGTATGTATGTATATAAATCTTTTAAAAAAATAGGAAATTGAAGTCTGGTATATAAAATTTTTAAACAATTAAATTAATAACTACTAAACATACCAAGGAGGTTTTCCATCGGCCATTTCCAGGACTGTACAGCCAATACTCCTATTAGAATAATATAATTGAACAACAAATTAAAGGAAACTTGAATTTGTTGTTGTAAAACCATTTTATCATCATATAAAGAAATTACCAAATGTCAGATTTATGATTACACCCTGTTCCAATAATAACTTCTGGAGCCATCCAATATGGAGTCCCTTTTATTGATTTTAACATAGCCTTATTATCCTGACTAAGACTCTAAAAAGAAAAAGACAACCTTACAAAAAGCAAATATATTTTGTTATAAAAAGCACGAATGCCAATTTAATGGTAATTAAACATACAACAAACTGTTTTCAAAGAAAAAATTGTGAAATTATTTATGAATATGCATACATGCATACAAATGCATGAACTTTTAGTCCTAGATTTTTCCCTAATAAAACAAGATAAAGCTAACTAAAATGAAGTTAAAAGTAAAAAGCCTTTTTTTTAAATATAATAATTAAGGTTAATTTTAGGTTTTTCAATTGAAGTTAAATTTTTTTAAAGTATAATAGTTAAGGTTAATTTTATAATATAAAAGTTTACTTGACAATGTTATCGCGCAATAAACAAAATCAAAAGGTCCATCTCCTGATAAAAGTAATTACAACAATTAGTCAAGTAGAACTTATGAGTTTTGTTTCATTTTTAACTAAAAAAGATTTTAGTTTGAAAAAAACAAAAAAAACTCTTAAAACTTTGACAAAATATATTTCCATAAATTATCTGCTGCTTAAATTATATAAAAACTTAT